GGTCAAGAGTAGGTTGCTCATCCGGTTTTGTCGTCGTGCATTGGTATTCTTGATGGAATCACACATCAAAATAGGTATCTGTTTTGAAACCAAGACTATAATGTGCTTTGGCAAAGGAAGTAAGCAAGTATTTAGGTTCATGTTGCAACTAGGATACCAGCCACCGTCCAGCGTGTCTGGTTGACGATCCTGGGACCACTCTCGCTCCTGAGGTGGCTCGTTCTCCTTCACCTTTTTGTTGCCTGGCGGGATCTCCTCTGACTCCTTCTCTGCCCTGGGGCCCTTCTTGGGCGAGGATTTCTTTGATTTTGGCTTTGCACACTCCTTTGGCATGGGTTCCTCCCCGGTTTCCTTCTCTTCCTCCCCGGTTTCCTTCTCTGCCTCATGGGTGGCCTTTTCCTCCGCCCGCTTTGCTCTTGCAAGCTCCTTCCTTGCTTTCTTCTCAGCCTTCCGTGCCTCCTTCTTTGCTTGCTTTTTGTCTGCTTTGGATTCACTCACAGGGGTCTCGGGATTGGCCTTTGCATCTGGGGTGGGGAAAAAAGCAGCATCGCTGCGCTTGAGTCGCACTCGACGGGCTGGCTGAGCGGGCACATCTTCTTCATCCATCTCCTCAAGAAGCTGCTCGAGATGGGCCTGCAGCCCATCGCCCTCCCCGGCATCCTGCTGCTCCTGGTCCTTCTTAGGTGTGGCATTGTCCTTTGTTTTGGTTTTCTTGCTTTCAGTGGGCACCTCCTCCTCTGCAGCCCGTTTCTTGCCAACTTCCTCCTTTGCATCTTTCTCCTTGCATGCCTTTCCTTGCTTGGCCTTCCTCTTCGGATGTGGTGCCTCTTCAACCTGGGGCTCGCATGCCTTCTCCTCCAAATTCCGCTTTCCCTTTGTCTTCGGCTTCGGTGTCACCTCGAGTGCCTTCTCATCCTGCTTGGCCTTTGTCTTGGATGTGGGATGTGTCTCTTCGTCCTGGGGCGGTTTGGCCTTCTCCTGTGGCTTTCCCTTTGTCTTCGGCTTCGGTGTCACCTCGAGTGCCTTTGTTTCCTGCTCGGCCTTTCCCTTGGATGTGGGATGTGCCTCTTCATCCTGGGGCTTCTTGGCCTTCTCCGAACCCCGCTTTCCCTTTGTTTTCGGCTCCGGTGTCACCTCGACTGCCTTCTCATCCCGCTTAGCCTTTCCCTTCGCGCTGGGGCGTGGCACCTCTCCAACCTGGGACTCCTTGGTGTTCTCCGCCTCTGCCTCTTCTACAGCCTTTGTCTTCTTACTGGACTTGTCTTTCTTCTTGGTGGACCCTCCCTTAAGCTCACCCGAACCCTTGCCTCCCTCGTCTCCAGCAGGCAATTCGGTATCAGCTTTGGGTTTTGTGCTGTTGGCTGTAGGCTCGGATTGGTTGGGGCAGGAGCCGGGGATTGCAACAGAGGAAGGCCCAGAGGCCTCAGATCTAAGCTGAATCATCACACGAATGGCTTCCTCATAGGAAAGACTATCATTCAGCATCAAATCCTTCACTGTGAGGTCACACGAACCATCTTCCAGCAGTTTGGTGCTTTCAGGGATGAGTTCACCTGGCTTGCAAGGAACATCCATAGTCTTGCGTAGCTTAGCCAAGGCAGCACCTCGCTTGAGGGAATCGGCAACACCACTGGCACTGCTAGCGCGTTTCTTAGCCTTAGCTTTCTGAGTAGCATCTTCTGTAGGGGGTTCAACGACCTCCTTCTCCGCTTCCTTCTCCTTGCTGCTCTTGCGGGCAGGCATGATGATGGCGGCCGCCTAGGACCTCTCGAAAATCTCGTCAGCTTGAGCCTTTGGGTTATAGGGTTGTGCCTAGATTAACTGATAACACTGAAGACAGCAGCTTCAGATTTGGGGTCACAGGTTACACTGTGGCTAAGGATTCTAGCCGAGGCAGAGGATTTAAGGGGCAGTGCAGATTCAGGGCAAATGCAGTTCCCAATTAGTCGAAATTCCCCCTATTAATATTCAGGGTGAGTTGGAGCTTTGGAACTAGAAAGAGTTAATGGTGTTCTAGGAAGAATCTAACAGAATATTTCAAAACTCCCTAGAGGACATGCTACGACCACTCGGGAATCCCTCAGTCTATTTTAACACCCACAGCAAGAAGGTTGCACCCAAACACCCGTATGTCTAATAAAACCTAGAAGAGCCCAGTTACTATTGATTTTGTCGGCCCACATACGATATTCCGGCCCACCGGCCAGGTAGAATGAAGGAAGAATAGAACCGATCCCCAAACCAGGCACAGCATATATCAATTCTTTCATGTCGACACTAAGTATCCACTACTGGGACACAACATCGGCACTGTAGACTCCGCTTTGTCTGAGCTACAAAGACAAATGTAAAAAGCACCTGATCCAGCTGCAACCCAACCCCAGATATTCTGTGTAATATAGAGTAGACCATACAGGCCGGAAGTTCCGAAAGCACAAATGTGATAAGATGTTGCACTAGTGTATGTAGAACACTTCTATGATAATGCAAAATATTTTTTGAATCCCTCTACTCAATATATATTGAAGCAATCCCGGAAATCACGAAAGTAACGGGCAAACCCGCATTCCACATTCACTTAAAGTATCACCGAAGCAACGTGAGAATCCCGAGACACATCACGGAAATCACGGCGCAATCCCGAAAACCAAGGGTCTAGGAAAGGATACCGAAAATCACGATGAGGTCGTGGGCTGTTCAACACATACAAGGAAATAACGAATATCCCGAAATTCCCGCGTAATCCCGGCTGTCCTGTTGATACAAAAGAACAACACCGAAATCACCAAATATCCCGAAAATCACCGTGAAAAACCCGAATATCCTGCTGCTATCCCGAAAGTCCAGACCAATAAGCTGCAATCAGGAAAGTCACTTTCCTATTTCACCGTGCATGGATGGTACCTGCAGCAAGACCACAGCACTCTAAGTTAATTGCAGCCAATTAAGCATTGGGCAGGACAGAAATTGCCCGATCACGGATCCCACGTGGAATAACTACGTTATCACGCCAGGTAGGTTCGAAACCACGCTAAATCACGCACCAAATCTTGGCCCTGCCAAAACATGTCAGGCCACACAACTATATCATGTTTCGATATTTACAGGAAAAGGCTTGATACTAGACAAGAAAGCAACTTGCTAGCTGCTAGCTGCCATTGAAGTACAAACATAGCTTGGGGCCAGCATTGCTTGCAGCAGACAAAACCGACACATGTGCCGGACTCACGGATCATGGTGTCCGCAAAAAGTAAGCTCTCAGAGATTCAGCCGGGGTTGTCGAAGACCGCAGAAGGTGCCTGAACTCAGCAAGGGTCACCCGAACCAGGAACATGTGTATCTCTATTTATGAGACCAGGCACTCTCTCAGTCCCATGAAGAAATCTTCCTTGGATGCTTCGAGATGAACAGATCCAGCCAACAGTATGCACCGATATAGCCTACAATTACAACCAGGCAAACACAAGCATTACTTGTACCAGGGCCTTCAGCACTGCTATTTGTTCGACAAGCAACATCTGAATGACATGGTTTGGGGCTTCTGGATTGAATCAGAATGGGGGCAGGAATGATATTCTTTGGATCTGCACACCTGACTTAGGAGAACTGCTTCACACTGGGAACCACTAGACACAACCCACACAGTTCAGCCGAATTTCCCAATGGCCCGTGAAATTGAGCTTGGACTTGTGGCAGCCAAGCAGGTACCGAAGAACATCAGGAAGTTCAGCCTCGGCAAAAACAACAGCAACCACAGGCCATTCATGTCTGAAAGAAACTTAACACTTGTTGCCTACAAGGAACATCTTCGAACAGATCGTCAGTAGTCTCTGGTAGATGGTCACAGAACAACTCATAGTCGGATTTCTTCCAATCCACAGACCTGGGGTCGACAGCTCCATGAAGAGCTACCTGGGCAGACGAACTTTACATGAACAACATCGACAACACCCTGGTAACATATAGCAGTGAAACACTCTGTAAAATAAACAGCACAGCAGCGTCTTCTCGCGTTCGAAAAACTTCTGCAACTTTGACCCCAAACGCACGTGGATACTTCCTGAGCTATGGTGAGCACAACACAAATCGCCACCATGATCTCTCGCTGACACAGAGTGTAATCACAGTTAAGCCCAAGCTCTGGCTCTCTTTCAAGTGCTTGCTGACACCAGTATAGGTTGCTTTCCCTGTGGCTGAAACACCCCTTTTGACGAGTTTGCTGGCTCCCAGGGCTTTCCTGGCTTCAGGGGATAGATAACCACCCTCCTTCAGGATGGAGTCGATGAAGTGGAAGTCATTGCTCCATCCCAAGTGGCGTTTCGGGCTGACTCCCCCAAAATTTGCCATGTACCATTGCCCACGCCAGATCTCAGATTTTCAGAATGTAGCTAAGACAGGACAACATACAACAGAACAGAAGCAGCATGCATTACAGCACCGAAACCGAATGCAGCACTAAGCACACCAAGACTCTGAAACCCGAGCCATCAACCACTCCCACCGCGGATGGTCAGCAAGACAAGAGCCAGTCGGCTGCTCCAGCAGCCATCGGGCCCCCCGGTAGGAGGCAATAAGAGTGAGGATAACTACACGGCACAGAAGAAGGTTACCTTTCTTGACGAAGTCATACCCCTTGTTCCCGAGAGGCTGAATCACAGTGCGACCACTTGTGTATCGAGACCTCAGCTAGAGGAGATATTCACTACCCGCAGCTGTACAGCTAGCTTTAGCAACAACAGATAACTGTATTGAATCAGGCAAGATGCATCGCCGAAAAAGACTCACAGCACAATGCAATGACACAGCATCCTCCAGCCCTCAAACGTCTAACCTCATTCAGTGCCAGAGCAAAGCCAACCGGCTGAGTAAGATCAAAAGCCTTCGGGTTGTCCAAGATTTCCAAAGATGCTCCCGATGCTCCAGCCTCCCAGCAAACAATACAGGCTGTCGTAAGAGTACTGCACAAGATATGGGAACAGCATACACCAAGCGACCCTACACTAGCTCATAATATGGTCCTCCCGGAGGCCAGCGGAGACCTCTCCACAACCAGCAAAGAGCTCCACAAAGTCATTGTCCTGCCGGTTGCGATGGGGGCAGATGTCTAAACATAAAATCACTCCAGAAGAAAAGGCCACTCCTGTCGCTGATCCAAGACAGACATGAAGCTCATGAGAACATTGACCATGATCACCAGCATTGGGGCACGCCAATGCAGGAGCTCTGCTACAACCATGGCTCTCTGAGTCGCTAAAACCTTGCTTGTTATTACCCCGATAATAAGCACAGCAACTCACATGCAAAACTGCTGGTGCCTCTGCAGCATCATATCCCTAATCACTGATCGGAAGCTTTCAGAGCACATTTCACACAACACTCAGAACCCGAACTTGCAGCAGACGCCGGCGCATGACACCCATCACAGCTAACATATCTTGTGATAGACCTGCTCCCAAAGACCAGTATGCACAAACAGCATTTCACTGCTCATTCTTGCACAGAGTGAATCTCATGCTCGCAATGACACAAAAAAATCAGAGTTGAAAGGCTCGGTGCGTGCAGTACGCACAGCTCAGAACACCAATCGAGGAAGTTCACGATCACACAGGATTTTGGCCCTGAGACCTGAGATACAACTACATAGATGGATGGAATGCTTCTTATTTGACACTCAATATATTCTCCTCCAAAAGAATCAGAACAGCGAGGATTTTTGTGTCTTCAACTCAGTTGTCACACAAGCCAAAAGTAAGTGCAAACAGAACAGCTTGATGACAAGCAGCAGGGCGCCACAGCGAACGCACATGGTGTAATCATCATCCTGTAGGGGGCAATGTGAAATTCGGCCCAGAAATAAAACCTGCACATCGAATCTAGTGAACGACTTAGATCGAGTTCTATGCCTGCACAGACAAACCCAATATAAAGATACAGTTGAAGAGCACAATTCCCCACCCCACCCCCCCTCCCACACACACACACACACACACAGAAGCATCCCTCGATCCTTGGCACCAAGCCAACGATGAGTCCAGGAATGCAAACTCCACATCTATGTACAAGCACATCACTTGACTGCTCCAGCTTGAACAGCACATGTGAGCAATGGAATCAAGACTCGAAGCAAATTTGCACTGCAGCAAAATCGCAAGACAAAGACCCAGCAGATGTCGTTTTCATTCATGCAGCATGTTTGCACAGTCTCGAGCACTGCAACAGCAGCCATTAGGTTGCACTTGATTCTAAAAGCTTTCAGGAAAAGCTGCTACATGCATCATCTAACTTGCAAGAATTGCACAGCGACTAGATAAAGCGTCGCCTACGAAGCTCAGCTAGCGGCATCTCTCGCAACAGATCGGCGCGCTCATCACTGTCGTTCCACCAAATGTTGGCAGTTTTGTAGTCACAGCCATAATGCTGCTTCATGTCCCTTATGTACTGCAGCCACACAGCCCGATATTGACCCGGAACATACCGACCGAACGATTTTGCTTTCGTTGGCCCCTGCTGCCCCTGCTTCGACTCCTTTGCAGCACATGCCTCCTGTTCCTTTGGAACCTTCGCGACATTGGCTGCTTTGAGTGCCTTCTTGACTCTCCGGGCTTTCATGGCTCGCCTGTTCTTGCACACCTTCTGTTTCTTGGCTTTGGCTCGAAGACCTCGCTTCTTCTCTCCACAATCATCCCTGTTGGGGTCCACTGCTTCATCATCCACAGGATCTGAATGCTTCCACCTTAGAGCTTATGGGCAAGGTTCCTCAGAATTACACCTCCCGAAAAACCCAAGCTTGACTGTAGTTAGCACACACCAAAAAGCCCAGCAGCTGAACACTCGGAAGGAAGGGCTTCGTCTGCACCTTCGAGACCGACTGCATGCTGGCCATTACCTGGGATGGCTGGGCTAGGGCCGCTTGGTGGGGTTCGAACAGAAGGGTCTTAGGATGTAACTGCTCTGCGGATGTAGCTGCAAGGGGTTGCAGGACTGTTCGGCGCTTTTTGGAGCCGGGTCTTCAAGCGCTAGTTTCTAAATTATTAGCAGCTCCCTTGTGAAATCGTTGGGTCTCCAAAATAGTACGGCAACCTTATAAACAGGACCCTGCTCCTACTACTACTCCTAGTGTTGCTACTAGTATCACTAGTACTCATAATAGTAGTACTACTAGTTCAGGATTTAGGGTTTGGGGTTTAGGGTTTAGAGTTTAGGGTTTAGGGTTTAGAGTTCAGGGTTTTGGGTTTAGAGTTTAGGGCTTGGGTTTTAGGGGTTAGAGTTTCTTGCCAGAGATGCAGAGTGTGTCGGGTCGGGTGCAAATAAGCCTGTGCGAGCTCAGTAAAAGCATCTGGACCCCGCCCACAGCCTGCCCACCCCGCCCCGAACCAAAACACCCTGACCCGCGGAACCGTTAACGAAGACAAACTCTTGTGCAGCCCACATGTCAACCCACACCTACAAGTGGTAGTAGTAGTAGTAGTAGTAGTAGTAGTAAGATCTTCATGATGTTATGTTACTCTTGAGCTTGTGGGGGCTAAGCTTAAGTTTTTGCAAGCCTTGCTACACATGTCATGCTGTGAAAGCTGTATGCACGTCGTACACAAACTGCAGGCTACGCTTGTGTATGTAGCAATGACTACCATCACTCAGCCCAGAAAATCTCTTCGATCTATTTATCTACTTAGATGAATCACCGATGGCACTAGAGCTGCAATTGCTTTGGCACAGGTAGCTGGCTAATATGTTTAAACGACATATATGTCTGAATGCAGCCGATTAGTATCAGTACTTATGCTGCTGCCACTACGACTCTTCAGTCAAGCTTAAGAACTCTTTCAAAAAACCCGTCCTTGAGTCAAGCAACAGATGGTGGCAACACGTAGCCATTCTGATCATTCATAATCTTGCTCGGAGTCTCAGGAGATGCCTTCACCTTCGCGACCAACTTCCTCGGATGGTGACGGCAGCAGCAGCAGCAGCAGCAGCAGCAGCAGCGGTAGCAGTAGTTGTTGCAATAGCAGCAGTAACCCAGTAGCAGTAGCAGTAGCAATAGCAGTAGCATAGTAGCAGCAGCAGCAGCAGCAGCAGCAGTAGTAGTGGCAGTAGTGGTAGCATAGTAGTAGCAATAGGAATAGAAGTAGGGGTAGGGGTAGGAGTTAAGGAGTGCAAGTAGGACAATAGCCGTACAGGAAGCAGTAGCAGCAGCAGTAGCAGTCCTGGTAGCAATAGTAGTAGTAGTAGTAGTAGTAATAGTAGTAGTCGTAGTCGTAGTCGCAGTCCTAGTAGTAGTAGTAGTAGTAGTAGTAGTAGTAGCAGTAGCAGTAGCAGTAGCAGTAGCAGTAGCAGTAGCAGTAGCAGTAGCAGGAGTGGTAGTAGTGGTAGTAGTGGTAGTAGTGGTAGTAGTAGTAGTAGTAGCAGTAGCAGTAGTAGCAGCAATAAAGTAGCAGCAGCAGCAGCAGCAGCAGTAGTAGTAGTAGTTGTTGTTGTAGTAGCAGCAACGGCAGCAGCGCAGCAACGGCAGCAGCGCAGCAGCAGCAGTACGAGTACTAGTCTGTAGAAGTAGAAGTAGTGGTGGTAGTAGTAGTGGTAGCAGTACCAATAGTAGTAGTAGTTGTTGTAGTCGTAGTAGTAGTAGTAGTGGTAGTAGTAGTAATAGTAGTAATAGTGTAGTACTTCTTGTTCTTGATGTTGTTGTAGGGGAGTAACAGTAGAAGCTATAGTGCTAGTACTAGTAATAGTACTAAAACTGGTGGTAGCAGTACCAGTAGCAGTAGTAAGCAGCAGCACTAGTAAAGGTGTAGGACTTGTTTTGGCAGTTTTCTCACTTTGGAGGTCCGGGTCCCCATGTTGTAGATGAAGGGGTTTGAGAATCAGGTGACTTTGAGTGGATGTCGGCAACATAAAGCATTGTGGGTATTCGGGTGGCTTCATGCTTAATGCACTGCAACCTCCAGCCCTACACTAGGTAGTTTAGGGTTTAGGGTTAGGGGTTTAGGGTTTAGGGGTTACAAAGTTGCAGACACCTGGGCACAAAGCCCAGCCCCCGATTTCATGTCATTGAAGCCTACACACATATTGAAACCTCAACCCCACTAGCTATCTGGTTGATCCTGATCCTTAAAGTCGTGAAAAACCTTAGCATCCCTAAACCTCAAAGCGTTGTAACGAATGGCAAGAGTTCAAAGGCCTGTAACACAGGAATGCCCCGAAAGCCTGAAAACCCTAAACCCTCAAACCAGAGCCCAAAAATAACCTACAGCCCTGAAGCCCTATGGATATCAAGTTCCGATTGACTCCCCTACAAACCCGAGAATATGAAGCAGCCTTCTTGGAAATTTGGAATAATCATCAGACATATTGTAGCTTCAGCCCAAACTCCGAGAGTTCAGAAAGCCAAGAAGCCTAGAGGCCATCCGTGGGCCGCTATATGTCACTACATCCTTACGAACCACAAACCTCGGGCCTTAACAGCTCCCAAATAAAACCCCGAAAAAAATCCTACTTCCAAAAGACCCCCTAAACACTTGACCCCCAACACCTCGATCCCTAAACCCTATCATAAGCCACTAATCGATCATGCGGTATGTGCTTTCACAGAAGATCGCCATGACTACATATGGTGCACAAGCCATCTACCAGATCTAACCGCGTCCAGCCTCAAACTTGGACTTCGGCAGTGGTTTGCCATGTAGTAAGTACTTCTTTAATCGTCTACGTACAGTCTACCCATGTGGCCCGTTCAGGTTTTCGCGCGGTCATGTAGTATGCAGTACTTGCATCGTCGTCCTCACCATTCACAGATGGCAGGCAGCCATGGTCACATATATGAGCCAGACGCCGCACCGGCCTGCGAGTTGTCTCCTAGGCTCCTGTGACGTGTTCGCCACATCGTTCTTCAATCCGTCGTCGTCAGATTCCAAATCACGACCATCATAAGTTAACACACTCCACACCCTTAATCCCCATTTAAGCCTTACAAGAACCCAATACCAATCATTAAAGCCCAACGCGTTTGAAGCCCCTCAAACCCAACCCGAACCGAACCCCTTATTTCGAATTAAGACCTGTATATATATATAAGACAGTAAACCTCAAACCGATAAAGAAAGCCTCGACTACCCTACTGCCACTGTCACTACTTGTGCAGATATAACTGTTGTTACTGCCACTACTGCTGGTGCTTTAGACCTACTGCTGCTTCTGTTACTTCGGTCCGCCTGCTATTGCAGCATGCAACTTACCACCAAC